CCATCTGAGGGCATGACGCCGTCGGTCGTAGTCGTATTGTTGCATTCCGTCGTGATGGGGCGTGACGCTGTTTGTCGTAGTTTTAGTTGTGCTGGTGGATGCCGTCGTGCAGGGCGTCATGTTGCCTGTCGCAGTCGTGTTAGCGTCGGCTATCGTGCTGGTCTTGATGTTGTTTGTCGTAGTCGCAATTGTGTTGCTGGATGCCATCGTGCTGGGCGTGGTGCTGTGGACGTGTTTTTTACGTGTTATGCTGTCTACATATTGTTTTACGTATTGTTGTTACGTGTTGTTTTGATGCGTTGTTTTAACGTTTTGTTATGCTTTACATGTTGTTTTGCGTATTGTGTTACGTATTGTTTTCCTCACGGTTAATTTAAACCTTCGTTGCATGTACGTATTGATTTGCGTGTTGTTCGTACGTGTTGTTACGTGTTGTTTTACGTATTGTCGTACGTGTTGTTTTATGTGTTGTTTTTACGTGTTGGTTTTACGTGTTGTTGTACGTGTTGTTGTTACGCAGGTTGAACGAATTTTCACATGTTTTACGCGTTGTGCTTACGTAGTGTTTACGCGTTGTGATCACGCGCTGTTTTAACGTATGCATGTTACGTATTGTTTTTTTGTGCTGATTTTTCGTATTGGTTTACGTATTATGTTTACGTATTGTTTCTACGTGTTGTGTTTTATGTGTTGTCTTTTACGTGTTGTGTTTATGTGTTGTTTTTACGTGTTGTTGTTTCGTGTTCTTCTGATGTGTTGTGTTCACGTGTTGTTTCTACGTGTGTTAAACGCAATGCTACGTGTATTTCGCGGTGTGAGTACGTTCTTTTACGTGTTCTGCTGTCTACATGTTGTTTTGCGTATTGTTCTGACGTGTTGGTTTGGTGTGTCGTTTTAGCGCGTTTTTATGCTTTACCTGTTGTTTTGCGTATTGTCTTACGTATTGTTTTCTTCACGGTTAATTTAAACCCTCGTTGCATGTACGTATTGGTTTACGTGTTGCTCGTACGTGTTGTTACGTGTTGTTTTACGTATTGGTTTACGAGTTGTTTTACGTATTATTTTTACGGGTTGTTTTACGTGTTGGTTTTACGTTGGACGAATCTTCACGTGTATTACGCGTAATGTTTACGTAGTGTTCACGCGTTGTGATCACGCGTTGTTTGAACGTATTGTTTTTACGTCTTGATGTTACGTGTTTTTTATTCGTATAGTTGTTTTACGTACTGTCTTTACGTATTATGTTTACGTGTTGTTTGAGCGTGTTTTTTGTATATATATATATATACACGAAATGCTTTTAGCGTGGCTTTTTTAACGTAATGTTTTTGTACGTGTTGTTTTCTTCTCACTTTTTACGGTTTACGTACTAGTTGTTTTTCGTATTCCTCTTACGTGTTTGTTTGATGGGTTGTTTGAACGTGCTGTTATGCTTTACAGGTTGTTTTGAGCATTGTTTTGCGTATGATTTTCCTCACGGTTAATTGAAGCCTTCGTTGCATGTACGTATTATTGTACGTGCTGTTCGTACGTGTTGTTACGTGTTGTGTTACGTATTGTTTTACGTGTTATTTTACGTGTTTTTACGTGGATTGAACGAATCTTCACGTGTATTACGCGTTGTGATTACGTAGTGTCTACGCATTGTGAGCACGCGCTGTTTTAACGTATTGTTGTTGCGTATTGGTTTTACGTGTTGTTTTTTTCGTATTGCCTCACATATTTTTTGAACGCTTTGTGTGTTAAGCGTTGTTTTTACGTTGTTTTTTTTGTGTGCGCGCTGTTTTTACGTATTGTTTTTGCTTGTTGGTGTCTTCTCACGCTGCGACTTCTCATCTCCTCCGGGGAGCGTTCACTGCAGGCCTTCTTCGGCCAACTTGGACCGTCTTAGGGCCATCGTGGAGGAGTTCGATGAAAGAAGGGAGCCCGTGCCCCTCGATTGCCCCGAACTTCGCTTCAGGGGGGGAATGGCGAGAGGAGAGGAGGGGAGGACACGAAAAACAAAAAGAGAGGTAGGAGCACGATGCTATTCATTGAGTACAACTTGCAACGCGTGAGCATCGCATTCCACTGACCATGCGCAAACTATTTAGCCAATTAGTTGGACCAAGTTTGGAGCTGTAGTCGGCGAACTAAACTAAGGTGTTCGTTTACTTCGGTGGTGGCGTATTTCCCTCGAGGGGCTGATTTCTACGGGCTCGCCGAGGCACAGGCAGCAGCTTTCGCGCCACGGGGCATCGAAGACAGGCGTTCAATCGAGGCCAGGCAAATTGCAGACAATGAAAATCTGCAACATCGGTCCATTGTGTTTAGGTGTGTCGTGCATATTTTTTGCTACCGCATCGCACGGAAATGTGGCCAATTGGTCAAAGATGCAGAATGGAACGTCGTCACTTTTGGAGTATCACATCGCCAATGGGCCCACAGCAAGGCCACTGGCTCCCAGAGGATAAGACGCCGCGCGGACACGCGGACACTGAAGCTCCGTCGCGGACACGAGGCTGACACGGGCATTGAAGCGCATGAAGCATTGCCACCCCAAGTGCTTGCCGCACTGCTACCCCGACCCCCTGACGCAGCTCAGGGCCGTTTGCTGGGCCAGGCAAGACTTCCTCGAGTTCAAGGGCGAGTCCGGCGGCTTGGTTGGCAGCGACGCGAGCAAGGGCGCCTTGACTCTGCTTCGTCGAACTGCGCAGGTAGTGCCGACCAACGCTGGTGACATTCAGAAGAAGGCCATGGCGGGGGCCTGGTCCGCATACCTCTACGTGGCGCAACAGACGGCCACGCAGAAGAAGCTCAACGGCGTCCGATATACAGCTGCATTCAAGCATTTCGAGGTCGCGTCTTTATTGCTCTCCAAGGCAAGCTGCACTATCGCGCGCGCGAACCTCCATGAACTCGCAGCTCCGTCCGAGACGACGCTGAGGGGCGAGGTGAAGGACGCGTTCCGGAACTTGCTCGACCCGTCCCTGGAGTATTTCGAAGTCTCGGGGGCGCTGATGCATTTCGCGCCGCAACGCTTGGCGCGCGCGGCCGCGACGAGCAAGGGCCCCCAGCTCGACCGCCGGCGCCGAGTCTGGATCCCCCGGCGGGCGCTCGACGTGATGGGCAGTTGGCGGCTGCGCAGCGCCACGAGGAAGAACTTCGTGGCCTCGTACGAGTCCTTGGAATTCTCCATGTGCGTTGCGGACTTGGTCAACCCTGGTCGAGATGCCACGGCGATGCTGGAGTGCCTCGTCGGGCAGATGCGCGCGCGCGCCAGAACGCAGACCACCTGGCACTCATGATGGGCCACTACGTCGCGCAGCGCATCGAGGCGTCCCAGGCAGTCTGCCGCAAGAGCGGCTTCAGGTCAGGCAGCCAGGCGAGGCAGTGCTCATCGGCCTGGGAGGCGCTGGACACCAAGAACCACCGGCCGCTCGCGGGGCAGCCGGGTATCCCTTCGGAGGAGCACTTGCGCATCATCAGTGAATGCGGCGCGGTGGTCAGGCCGTTGCTCCAGAAGCTCGGTTGGGGCCCTGACCGCGTGGGCCCGCTGGCCCGCGAAGCGCAGTCCATGCGAGACGTGGCCGAGGCGACCGCGGCGGCGTTCAGGGTCGCCGAGGCGGCGGCGGACCCCGAGGTGGACGAGGACACCGCAGTTGCTCCTCCGCAGCCGCTTGAGGCGCCGAGGCCGCAGCAGCCGCAGGCAGGGCAGCGCCGCTGCCCTCCCGCGAGCCTGACGAAGGCGGTCAACGCGTTCCAGGCCATGGCGAACGAGCTCGCTGACACCAGTGACGTCGCATGCGACGAGTTCTTGGAGGAGCACGCGGGCAAAGGGGCGCCCGAGGCCGACTGCAATGCGCAGCAGGAGGCCGACCCCCGCGGCGGCATTGGCGCGGGTAGCTCCGTCGTCGCCCCCCTGGAGGAGCCCCCGAGGCTTGCGCCCGAGGCCATGCTGATCCAGTTGGCGAAGGTTTGCGCGGACATCAGGAAGGTCGCCAACGGATCGAGGCGCAGAGGTCGGGCGGCCAGGAGGACGACCCTTGAGAAGTTGATGGGGGAGACGGCGCGAGTCGGAGGCGGCGGGCCGCCATGGGGCTTTCGCGCCATCTGCTGCGCGCCCAGTCTGGAGATATTCGCGAGGGTCGTCGCGGTCTTCGAGAAGACGGCCTCCGGATGGACGTTGGCGGAGCAGCCTGAGAACGAGGAGAAGAGATTGCGTGAGATGAAGAAGATGCACAACATGGCCTTCAAGTGCACGCTCGAGGAGGTCGCCCTGTCCACCAGGGCGACGTATGGATCAGGGCCCGCGTGGGAATTGGCGAGGCGAGCGCCAGGGGCGCAGCGGGTCCACTCCGTCTTCACTTCGGACATCTACATGATCGCAGGCACTTGCTTGATGCCCGCGGCCGTCCCTGACGGTTGCAAGCCCGAGGCCACGGAGATGGCGAACAACTTTTACGCCGGCGCCGCGCGTCTTCGTCAGGCCGAGTCCCACCTCGCGTTCGACGCGGGCGCCATGGTTGATTCCAGGCGCCCCGCTTGCTTGTGCTACGTCTTGGCGTTGATGACAGGGCAGGCGCAACGCTTGAACTCGCAGCACGTCGCGGGCAGTTCGGGGCTGCTGAAGGCTTTGCTGTCCGCGGGCCAGGAGGGCGCGAAGCGCGCGGCCGTCCAGTTCTTCGACGAGGTCAAGACCGCGCGCGCAGAGAAGCGCGCCCGCAGGGAATGGCGCTGAGAGAGAAGAGCCAGGCCGGCACGGCAGGCGCCGCGGCGCGGGCGAGCGCGCCGCGTTCCGCGAGGAGCGGCGTTCCAATCCTGCTCTCCTCGACCCGCCGTCCTCCTTTCCCATCGCTTGTTCGTCCTGCGACCCGCCTCCTTGTTCTCCTCGACCTGCCGTCCTTCTTCCCATGGCATGTCCGCCCCCCGGCCCAGTCCCCGGCTTACCTTGCCCTGCGCATCCACGTCGGCACCGCCTGCGCCCCGGTTTCGCCCGCCCCAGCCGCCTGAGGCCCCGCCTTCCTGTGCCCTGTCTCCCTAATCGAAGCTGCGTGTAGCCCGCCTAGCTTTCAGCGGAAGAGGTTCGCTCTCGCCCCGCATATCAAAAATTGCGTTCATGGGTCCTTGTCGGGGGTTCCGAAGGGCAACTTACACAGGGGCTGGGGTCCGTCTGTGAACGTCGAGAGCCATTTCAAATTTCCACGGGTTGTTTTCTAAGTGAACGGCACCTAGACACACGCACACACCACCGCCACCCACGCACACACGCTCGCACACACAAACCACGCACCACCACCCACCACACACTCCACACACACCATGCACGCACACATACTCACCACGCACCACCACCACGCACACACACAACGCACCAATCCAACGCACGCACCAACCCCACCACGCACCAGCACCCACCACCACCACCCACCACCCACACCACCACCATCACCAACACCACCCAACACGCATACACACACGCACACACACACACACCACGCACCACCACCCACCGCGCCCCCCCCCCCCCACACACACACACACAACACAACACAAACAACACACACATACGCACCACCACCACGCACCACCACACACACCACGCACCAATCCGACGCACACATCAGCCCCACCACGCACCAGCACCCGCCACCACCACCACCACCACCCACCACCCACCACCCACACCATCACCACCACCACCACCACCACCCACCACGCTCACACAGGCACCACCACACACACAAACGGGCTCGGGTGTTTCTGGGGGTCCAAGTTGCATGAAAGCCCGCCTCTGTCGGGGCCGTATTGGAGCATTGAGGGTCTTCTTGGATGCCGGACGCATTCGATGGTGGGGGGATAAGTAACGGCCGAAAGGTTTTGCGTAAACAACGGTACCCGGAATCGGACATAACACGAATCGCGCTTCGTTTGCTCGACGAGTGTTTGATAGATTTGTGTTTCATCGCAGCAGGAGGAGCAGCAACAGCAGCAGCAGGAAGGGGAGGCGGAGGAGGAAAGCGACGAGGAGAAGCAGCACTTCCACTTTTGCCTCCCCCTTTCCTGCACTCCTCCGTAGCCATTTTGGCCCAAACTTCATTGGCGACGGGCGGATTTTTTGTTTGTTTTGGATATTCAAGGTATTACAATTCGCATTGTGCATTCTAGTGCACTTTGGTTTGTATTGTGCATTGTTGTGTTTTTTGGCTCGTGTTTCGCATGTTGGCTCGTATGATGCGTTTTCGTTTTGTACACTCAGGCTCCTGTAATGCATTGGTTCGTGTAGTGGTCTTTGGCTCGTATTGTGCGTTCTGAGTCGTATAGTGCTTCCGGTCCGTTTTGCGCATTCTGGTTGACATGTTTTCAAACAAAAAACAGTTTTTTGTATTCCTGCTCGTATAGTGCATTTTGGCTGGTTTAGTGCACTTTGGTTTATTTGCAGTTTGTTGTTTTCTGTTTTTTTGGTCGTTTGTGCATCCGTCGAGTATACGGTTTCGCTCATCTTGTGCAATCAGCCTTGTATTATGCATTTTGATTTGTGTAGTGTTTCATGGCTCATTTTGTGCAATCTAGGTCGTATAGTGCATTCCAGCTCCTGCTGTTTGGTTTGTATTGTGTTTTCTGGCTGGCGTAGTGCAATCTTGCTCGTGCGGAGCGCGCCTCTCAAGGAACACATTTTTTATTGTCAATTCCGCCGTGCCGCTTTGCCCCGGAAGCGTGGGATACATCGTTATTTTTAGAAATTTAATACGAATACGCACCACAGAAAAAGCTGCTGACATGAATCGTCGTCATCGTTTTTTTTCGCACGAGTGTTATTTTGATTCTTGTGTGTCGTCGTCGTCTTAAATCGTGTCTTCGATTTCGTCATCAGTGCCGTCGTTGTTTTTTTGCCCCCTCCCTTAGGGGGACAAATGAAGTTGTCGTCGGTTTGAGACCCCCCCCTCCGTATTATGGTTGGAAGTGCACGTCAACGGTTTTGATGATTTTAGAGTGTGATTGTGTTGATTTCCCCGTGATGCATCCCCTCCAACCTACTTCCCTCCTTCGGATAATATCCGGAGGGCCCATCATGGTCAGAAGCGATACACGATGACTACAGGACAGATCTCGAACATCGTTATCAATCTTGATCAAGCGACGCCGTGGGTTCCGTTAAGCTGGCGTGAACTAGACAAATCATCGTCGGTATAGCCGTAGCATGCGTTCGTTCTGGAAGGAAAACACAGGGGTTACGCAACAACACCTGACATAATAGTATTGGTAGTGGTAGTGGTGGTGGTAGTGGTAGTGGTAGTAGTAGTAGTAGTAGTAGTAGTAGTAGTAGTAGTAGTAGTAGTAGTAGTAGTAGTAGTAGAAGTAGTAGTAGTAGTAGTAGTAGTAGTAGTAGTAGAAGTAGTAGTAGTAGTAGTAGTAGTAATAGTAGTAGTAGTAGTAGCAGTAGTAGGTAGTAGTGGTAGTAGTAGAAGTATTAGTAGTGGTAGTAGTAGTAGTAGTAGTAGTAGTAGTAGTAGTAGTAGT